TGAGTTTATTGTCTATGAATTTCGTTATATAAAACGTACAAAGACAAATTTACCTATGAATTTTAGCTAAACATTACAGTGTTTGTAGAGTAATAGAAAATATTACGATGCTTCTATGGTATCGACATATATGGTATGGATTATTTCGCTAGAAGCCTGGTATCGAGCGATATTGATTACTCAGTAATCTGTAGTCGCCCATCCCTTATATTGAACTTGAATTAGGAAGTGTTCGTGCAATTCCAATGTTATCATCCACAAATATTTTTCTGGCGATATAAGATCATGATATCAAGGAATATTCCTTCCATCTAATATAACGGCAAGAATAAGATTTTACATCCTTAGTTGGCGACTCGAATGAATTTCATTTTATTTACCTATTTATAAGTATTGAGATATTTGTGCAATTAAAGAACAATGATCATTTTAGTTACAGTTCATCTCGTTCAAAACTTTTACGAAAATTGCTTTATTTATCGTGATAAGCATTTAAACAGGGTTATTGTCAAACCATAAAATACAACAAACATAATCGAGATATTCAAGTTAGATTTCTAACATTGTTTAGGGAAGGAAATGAATATAATTGAAGCGGAACATTAAATCACTGTGTTTAACACGATTTGTTCTCGTTCGAAAGTTATTTTTGTCATCGTTTAATTCTAAAATGATCGTTGTAGAGGGTTTTCATCCCTTAGTTATGTACATCAACATATTTTGAACTTTTGATATGATAAAACTTGTTTGTTGATATGTGTTGATTTGCTACTGAAATAACATACTAAAGTGAATATTTTATTTGTGTTCTTCATCGTCATTTGACTCTGAAGTTGACTCCTGCTAAGGTTGTCAAAACGTCAGTCAACAACAACAAAAACAGTCCTTCTCAGGACTATACCAACCTGAACGATCTACATTTACAAACATGTAACGATACTCCCGGGTTCAAACCATTTACTTTAAATATAATTTTGTTACAAGATTTCTCTATTTTCTTGGATTCATTCATGTACAGGAAGATCAATAAATGTTGGGTGGGGGCTCATATTAATTTATGTATATGATATGTTTTTATTCTTCAGTTGTTAACTATTTCATGTAGTTTGCCTAATTTTTGTTAAAATAATAATCTAACTAATGAAAAATAGTTTTGGTCATAGGCGTACAGATTCTTACATCTTTTACACAATTTTGGGTCAACTCTCATAAAAATTATGTCCACCAATTTTTCATTGGTTTTCTTATTACAATGCTTTGTTGACCATTTTTATTGCTTTCATCACTTTTGTTCACTTCTTGACACACTCCCTTTTTTTAGCAAGAAAAACTGTGGCAGGACTGTAGGATGATTGTTAATTTGAAGATCGTATTATGTATGCATAATATAGGCTACATGTGTTAAGTTCCTTTGAAAACCATTGTTGTCTAGGGATCATTACATCCAAATGTTTATGTCACCTCAACCACAGTATAGAGAATATACAGTAGGACCACTTTCTGTGCAACTTACTGCTGTATATATAATTATATTACTGGGTGTAGTTTGCCAGCTCAGTGCACCAAAAAAATGGTAGTGTATAACTGCCACTAAGGTAATCACTTGGGGAATAAGATATGCATGGCGCAAAAATATTCAATGCAATCTACTGTATGTTCTCCATAAATTTATACTATATGTTCCTATAACCGTGCCCCAATTACATTATGTCTTCCTTAAGTCCTAAGTCATAAATGAAGTATTAGTCCAAATAAATTGCACCTGCTCATTATTTTTATCATAATACCTTCTAAACAATGATAATGGTTATGAATTTTTAAAGAATAAAATTTTCAGTGGTGTAGCCAGACTGATAAAATGTTTAGTCCTTCTATGTATGTTTTTATATTCTTTTACTGTGAAAATAATAGATATTTTATCTTGTGAGTCTTAAAGTGTCCCTTCCATCAAAAATATTTTTTTAGCAAAATCAAATCTCTCGATAGTTTTAAGCCTCATTGAAGAAAAAGTTTTGAGTTTGGTCAAATCGTTTGATTTTTGTAAAAGCGTTAAATTAACTAAAATCCTATATTCTTCTTGTGAACCATGTCCGTGATAAAGAGGAGTCTGAACCTAGCTAATGTTTCGACGTCATCCAAGGTACTCGTGTTACACGAGTCGTGTATTCAATTGCTATCAAGTCAATGCTGGCTGAGGCACAACTTAAGTCTATAAGCGCATAAAAGCATTGTCTTTACATTAGTAAAATCAGACAGAAAAAAGGTAAATAGTTGCGTTGCAGCCAATTGTACGAATGAGTCAAGCCTTTGCTCTCGTATGAGTCTTCACACAATGCCTTATAATGATAAAAGGCCCGAGGCCAAGCGAAGACGGAATATCTGGGTTTTAAAGCAAAGCCCGTATTTGAGCCTTCCATTGCTTCAACACTTTGTTCGGCTCGATTAAAACCAGAGGATTTGGAGCGTCAGTTTAGTAGTTTGCCGAATCAAAAGAACGCTGATTTTCCAGGCTTAAAAAAGATGATACTAGAATTTGTGTCTTTTCGACCATCCATGCTTTGGAGTCAAAGTCCGAATCATTATCGCTCAAGTTTCATTGCTTTCCGAGTTTTCTGTCACGTATCCCGGAATAAAGTTTTTGTCAGAATTATCTGACTGAACACTCAATTCTGATTTTGATTCATCGCTTTCTTCGCAAGACATACTTTTCTCGAATATTATAATTAAACAGCGTGAAAGAACGTATATGTTTAATATAAGCTAATTATGCCAGAATGCTGACTATATTGGATGACGTCAAAATACCTTCTAGTGCCAGTCTTTTTTGTATTATAGAAAACAACGGCGTTGGGGCAAAAATGCACAACTTCAAGATGCCATTAAAGCTGTTGATTTGACCAAAATTCTGAAATTTTTTTAAGAAAGGCTTAAAATCATAGACAGGTTTCATATTGCCAAAAAAATTTTGGTGGCAATACTGAAAAAGTGTCTGAGTGGGGAAGGGTCTGTCTGTCCGTCGTGATATCTTCGGCTGTGTCCTCGTTCATAGTCGCAAATGCGAGCGATAACGAATAGTATTGTTTTGTCTAGTATAGTCAATGCTTGGAACTTGATAGCTACACTGTGCAGTATGTGCTTGTATTTTGTTCGGTATTTTATTCGTATATCACGTTGTTTATCTCTCACCCTGTGTTCTGTTTTTTGGTGAGGAAAATGTAAAGCAGACAGGATATAGTTTTCTTTATATTTATTTCAATTAGTAATGACGACGATTTGGATTTAACAGATCGTCAAAAATGACGAAGAATTTAAATATATTATGTCCCTATGGAAAATAACTACATCAGCAATGATATATGTACCATGTGCAATGTCTCCTCATTTTAATAATAAACATAAAAATTTTAATTAGAACAGAATCATCGGCAACATAGTCTATCAATAAGCAACAAACCGATTTGATATATCTTTTCACCACACCACTGTTAGAGAAATAAGACAAATTATTCATTTTTAAAAGTCGTTTTAATTCAAAATGGCGAAGGACTTATTGTTCTATCGTTGAAATTTGTGAGATTTATAAGGACATGGCAACTATATTGTTTTTTGCAAGCTTCTATTGCACGATATTAGCACATGAACACCAGCACACATAACATGCACTGAGCGTAGAAGAGCTATTAAAAGGAAAGATGATAATTACTGGGCATTTTTATTGAACAATGAGCACAGATAACGTTTTCTACCAAAGAGAAGGGCCAAAGGAAGGAATGATTTCATTTTGTGGCATTTTGACATGAAGATATTTTTTGTTATTTTTCATATGTTATTATTGCGGAATGACCTTTAGACTTGACCTTGGGAATAGCCTTGGGACTTCACTTAATTTAATGACAAATACAACACTAAGCAGTTTGGCTACTGACTACTGTTTGTTCCATGTACTGTAACTATGGTCAAGACTACCCACATGTACACACTCGTACCTATTTTTATGTAACTCGTACATCTGGGGACGATTGCACGAAGCCTGGATAGCATTATTCGTCGGATAGTAAAATTATCAAATTTGTGGAAAAAGGTGTTTATATTTTCCTTAGGGGAAAGAAATTTTGTAATCTTTGAAGCAATATTTTATTTCAATGATTGTTCAGTTCAAATCACATTTTATTCCATTTTAAAAGATTTTGTAAAAGTTCAAAACAATAAAACTATTCTGCCTTCGTGTAACCGACCGCAGGTTTTCCTTTATAATCGCAATCCATTTGTACCATGGAAGTCTTACCTACTTTTTTTCTGCAGGGAACAACATTATATCTGTCTTGAGCTCAGACATGAAAACTAATGGTTTTAAGTTGATGAGATTGATTGTTGATGTTGGTGGAGAAGCTTTAAGAATAACATTGAGGAAACAACTGTCAGGTACTGATTTATTTTATTTTTTAAATGACAGAAAAAATTATAATAAGCTTTTGTCGCTAAAAGATAAGCAAATAAAGCAACATCAATGGGATCTACTGTATCCTCCTCCTCCAATGTTACCAAATGAAAATAAGTTTGACATTACTTTACTTTGTATACTCCTGCGTAATATTTGTGATTTAAAACCACCACGTGATCCAATATGGACGTCAGTAAATGCCCCCACTGATTATTCAACTGAAGCAGATATTACCCGTATCAGGTTATTTCGTAATGAACGTTTTGCTCACTTACCTGACACTTCAGTAAACTTTAATGAATTTGAAGATTTTTGGGTAAAAATAAGCGAACCATTAATTCGTTTAGGAATAAGTCAGGAGGAAATAGATAGAATAACGAGTGAGGTGTATGGTAATGAAGAATATAAAAGAATTTTGAGAGAATGGGATGAATTAAAGAGTGATATAGAAGTTTTAATATCAGATCACAAACAAATTAAGAATACCTTAAAGGATGTCGGTGCGAATGTTGTGAAAGTGATAGATAAATTAGAATTAGTAGGAGAAGATATTAAAGGAATGAAAGCTTGTGGACATGGACTTACATCAGTTTCAGAAGAAGATGTTTTGACAAAAACCCTTGTTAGTTGTAACTTTGAAAGTGAAATTAGGCATCATTATAAAAAATTTTTGCATGGAACACGAGAATGGGTTTTTAAAGAGTTTTTAGATTGGTTCGAAGACGACAGTTCTCAAAATCGTGCATTTATTATTTCTGCTGTTGCTGGAATGGGAAAGTCTGTAATTGCAGCTACTTTATGTAAACGTTATCCGCAATATTTGACTGCAGTTCATTTCTTTCAACACAACAACAGTCGTTACAATAAAGCCAATGTACTTCTTCAATCTTTATCGATGCAAATAAGTCGTAAGTTTCCTTTTTACAAACAACTTCTTGTAAAAAAACTTTCGGGTCAACTGTGTGAGCCTTTGAATAACATGAATGTGGAAGGATTATTTTCCCTTCTTTTTACTGAGTTGTTTTGTAAAATCTCAGAACTTCCCAAGCGAATGTTAGTTGTGCTGGATGCTCTTGATGAATGTGGTTATCCAGAAAGAGATGACCTTGCTAATTTGATTGCTAATCACTTGTACAAACTTCCGCATTGTTTTCGCTTTGTAATTACCACCAGACCTAACGAAGTTTCTTTGAATAAGTTTGAAAAATTAAATCCACTGTTCATTAACTGCAGAGATAAGCGCAATTTAAACGATATTAATTTTTTGATTGAAGAAAGAATTGGCTCTACTGACAGCATTCTTGGTTTTAAAAATTTTTTGGCAGAAAAGGCTGACGGACTTATGTTGCTTGCATCACTTCTTACCAGTGAAGTCAAAAATCAGGATTTGTTGAAAGGTTCCATACCAAAAGATCTCAATGAATATTACGAAATTTGCTTAACAAGATTAAGTAAGGAATTAAATTCGTTTTATATCAGTAACGAAAAGTTTCAGTCAATTTTAAATGCTCTGGCTGTTGCTAAAGAACCTCTTCCTTGGGAAATGATCGATGACGTTCTTTGTTTGAATTCGAATCGCATATCACTTGGGGTTAGAAAAATTATCTCTTGTCTGTTTGTTACCAATGAAGAAGAATGTGTTTCGTTTTTTCACAAATCTTTAAATGATTGGTTGTTGGATGATAGAAAACATGATTACTCAGTAAAAACTTCTTGTGGTCATCGACTTGTTTTAGAATTTTGTTTAAAATCTTTGGTTAACCTCAAAGCTGAAGGTGTAAACTATGACATCATCAAACATGCGTCAGTGAGGTATTCAGTTAAGCATTGGTTGCTTCATTTACTTGATATTTCTGATAATGACTACATCGTTGAAAATGTTGCTAAATATCTTGTTGACTTGGAAGTTTTAGTTGCTTCTGTGTTGGTTGATGGTCGTGAAATTTTAAACATTTTTTCCTTTTTCAACGCACATGATGTGTACTTTCATATTTCTGAGTATATTCGATTGTTATTTTATGAAGTTTATTCTGTAATGACGCACTCTGTGCTCTCTGATAATGAATTAATTTGTTTGCAATACGTTGCCAACGAAGTCAAAGATCTTTCGTCTCAAGCCACCACAATGCTTCAAACACGTTTCAAAGGCTTACCATATGTAGAGTGCAGAGACACGGGTTTTGTAAAGGCTCGATTACTACGTTTAAATCAAATTTTGATTTCTGTTGATGTTTCACAAAATCATGATTACGTCGTCTGTGGTTATGAAGGATTTATCGTGCAACTTTTTTCTTTGAGAACAAACAGGTGTTTATGGATAAAAAATATTGCTGGTCAGTTAAAGGAATATGAAGAGAAAGACTTTTGCGTTGTCTTTCATCCATTCGAAGATTTGATTTTTGCTTCTCAGCTTGATAAGATATTAGATATTAATGGTAAAATTTCCTCTAGTCCGTTCCATTGTGATGATTCTACTTCTAAGTTCTTTACCAACAAATGTTTTTCTAAGGATAAATACACAATGGTCACTAGTTACAAATATACTTTTACAGTATGGGACGTTAAGAAAGGTGAGAAGAAACGCAGTATTAGATGTAATAAAGTGACCTCACTGTGTTTTTCTAAATCTGGAAGGTATTTGTGTGTTATTAAGAAAGGAAAAGTGCTTCAAATATTTGATGTAGCGAATAATTATGAAACATTCGTTTGTGACGATCATTTACCATGTGCTAAGTACAGTATTTGTTTTATTTTGTTTACTGTTGGTCTTGATTCTTGGTGTTGTGGCCATCCTTATTTTATCGATAAACATTTCATTGTAAATCCCACCGGTGAGAAACTTCCTGACGTAGATCCTGCTTCTCAAACTTCGTTTTTTCCTCTTGATCCTTTTGATGACAACAGATCTAACTTTTCCTTTAAGGGTGCAGAAATGTATTATTTTATTTTGAACAACGACAATGTTCTTTGGTTTAAATACGGATATGACTTTCATCTTATTACAATACCTCGTGTATGTTTAACTACGAGTTGCAGTTTAAGTAACCAAAAATTTTGCTCAAATGGAAAATTTCTGTATCGGAGCAATGAAGAAAATTCAAGGGTAATTATATACAATCTCAACACATTTGACTTTGTTGTCAAGGAACGTTTTGTTAGTGACATGGCTGCCGTAGAAAATGGAGTTATTTTGCTTACGGTAAAAAATATTCCTGAGCTTTGGAATAATGATTTGACAAAACTTGTTTATAGTTTTGATGAACTAAAAAGTACAAACAAAATTTTTAAGGTGAGTGATGTATCATTTGCTTGTCAGAAAACTGATTCTTTTGTGTTTTTTAATGTTGAAAACAAGCGAAAAGAAATATCAGTGAATTTTAATAATTATCGAAATGTGCACGTGTTTGCATGTAGCTCTAAGTATCACGTGTTTTCTAAAGTTGAAGTTAAGGATGAGATAATTTACTGTATGTGGCATGAAGACAAACTTGTTAATGGTTGAGATGACGTAATTAAGGAGGAAATCACCAATTTAATCTCCGATAAAGTCATTGGAAAGCACATGCGTGATATGACTCGCTGTATAACTTACGCTGCTTTTTCACCTTCAGCAGATAATTTATTAGTAAGTTACATGCGTAAGTATGTGAAAGTATTTGATGTTAAAAACATACAAATTATTTATAATTATTTTGAGGTTTCCTTGGATCCAAAGTTTTTCTTTGTTGATGATAGGTATATAATTAGTAATTACTTAGATTTGATTGATTTGAAATATTTTAAGATTGTAGATTTATATCTCTCGTGTATGAATATAATTCCAAGAAATTTTTATTACTGTCGTAAACGCAAACTTGCTTTACTTTTTTCTTCCTTAAAGGTCCCGGTACATTGCGTAAAAATCATTTTGCCACGTGGATAAATTTGATCTTTCCTGATAAAATTTCTCACCATTTTGGATAATGACTATATTATCTTTACGAAAATCTTGTTCTGTTTTTATGCATGATCCCTATCATTGTTGACATTTGAATTACTGTCTTTTTGCGTATGATTTCATGAAACGACCTTTGTCTAAGATTGATTGTTTTGTATAGAGACAGCAGTGTACGATAATGTCAACATTGAGAGAGATCATGTATAAAAGCTTAAGTTAATCAATTAAAGATGAAAATTCAATGGCAATAAAGACAAACCATAAACACAAATGATTTCGTGTCGAAAATAATAATTTTTTCTTGCACAAGAAAATAATTTTATTGACTTTTATCTTATCACACAAACATATAAATGCAAACTATTGTTAGTTATTGTACCATAGGTTATATTTTGTTTATATTTACACCATGTAAGCATATAGTTTTCATGCAAATGTATTCAGTGTAGGATGGTTTTAATATTGCACGTTTTTCCATAGTCTTTTACACCAAAAAAAAGTTGTTACTAATTAAATCAATACTATCTTGCACTGAAATAATTTCTTAATACTTTTTAATTATTGCATTTTGATATACAAAATATCTATGTGTTAATTTGTTAAGAGAGACAAAGACAGCCCAATTGTTTATTTCGGTTATATGAATATTTTCATCTTTATCAATTTAAAAAACGTAAATTTATAATAAAACAATGGTACCTTTAATAATTTTTTCAAGAAAAACTAAAAATTTGGCTGTCTTTCTCACTGACTGTTAAAAAGTAAATCATAAACTCCACAAGAAAATGACTTATGATTGACGTTCATCATAGTGATAAACAATTTAACCATTCAGATGGAACACTCCAAACCATGTGTTACTGTACGAACAGGAAAAGTTAACAAAAGTCAAAGAAAGTTTTGCAATATAGAGAGAAAGAAAACAGACGACAATGTTGTATATGGAAGGATGTTTAATGAGAAGTTTTTAACTTTTAATGAAAAATCAATATCAAGCATTGTTAAAGTTTGAACACTTTTACTTTGTGAATCGATACTTTATGGGAATTATTTTTAACAACATCAACTCAAACATCAGTGGACATACTGCAAGTGCTTTTCCAAAGTTTGATATGTTTATGGCTTGTCTATAAAATTCAACGTCTTCTCTTAATTCAAACGATTATACAAGGAGGAGAAGCTTTATTTCAGGAAGTGACGTAATGAGAGAAATGGCAAATTTATGTACCGTGGTTCTCTGTCGATTTATTGTTGTAATTTGTAACATCACCCTGGTCACGTGTTCATCAAAATGTCATCTGTGGTCATAATTTGAAGATATGAACTTTTTCTTTTTTAAAATGGTGAAGCTGCTTGTTCATTTTGTTCACTTGTTATAAAACTGTAACAAGAAAATTATTATCTCATGTGGACGCTTTGATGTGAACATAACGCATAAGTAATCATGAGAGTGAATAAAAAGAATTTGATTTATTACATTGTGGCTATTTGAGATGGCTAAAAGGATTTATTTGCTGCAACTATAATTGAAGCTGCTTCTCGATGGAAACACACTGTCATTTTGAATACTATCGCACTCAATTGCCTTTGCGCATGCTCTGAAATATATAAATATACATGAATGATACTAGAACATTGGTGATATGATCTAAGATCTAAGCAGCAACATGTCGTGAAAATTCAAGCAAACATCAACTATGGATAGTTGTAGAATGAAAGTGATCAGTTTAGTTCATATGAATGGTCAACAAATCATTCACAACAAAAGTAACTTCAACATCTAAGAACTACATCAAATTATGAGAATGAAAAACATGGAAAAATTTCAACGTCTTTCTTTCTAAAGATGTCATATTTCTAAATCCACTGTTTTATTTTTATGTAGTGAACAATTTTAGATCATTTAATTTATTTCATTTTGTTGTGTACATATCTACGTATAGTTAATAACTTCCCATAAACGGACATGTACCGTAAGCAGACATTAGGTCGTGGTCTCAAGGATGTCCGTTTACGAGTAGCTTGACTTTATGCAGACTTTTCATTTCTGCACTTTTTCTTTACATTTCTAGATTTTTCTTTTGCTTTTTAGATTTTAAATGCTAAATAAATGAATTGGGATTCATAATTAAACACCATTTTTTAGACTAATAGTAATTTTCCAACTGCCATGTGAACATCACCGGTGCTTTAGAAAAGGTTTGTCTTATTTTGAATTCAAAAATACCAATTTTTAAAATTGGCATTCATTAGTCGTACAATAACTTTCACTCACATTCAGCAACATTATTTGTTGGTAACTGTCATTTTGTAAAGCAAGATGAAAAATAACCGTATTGTATCGAAACAGAACAATTGCAGTTAGTATTTTAAAGACTCGTTGGGATTCATTCATTTAGCACTTATAAAAAATTATTTAGAAAGAAACTTTCTTTTTGCTCAGTGTTTTGTTGAACTTTGTTTTTTAGCACATATTAGCATAGTTTTATTATATTAGTATGTTAATGTAGGAGATAATCATTGTATAAATATGTTTTGTGCAAAATTGTTACAATATATGTGTGTTGATCTATATAGTGTCGTCCCTTAATAAGCTCCAGAAATTTTTGCTCAGTTTTCCGCTTCGTGGCTGTTTTATTCGTTAGTAGTATAGAGACTGCCAGTTCTAGCACACTTCTCAGTTTGAGAAAGAGTATACACAAATCTAAGTGCCCCAGCCCTAGTTCGCGTACGTGGTTCACATAGTAAGCACATAGTAAGCGCATACATCGACACAAAAATCACAAGACAGCCAAGGCCAAACCCTGGACAACGGCAGGAGCCAAAAACGGCCACAGAGAAATTCTCATATAGAATATATGTCTTGACACATCATGAGGCATCATGAAAGAACAAGTGTGCGTGGTTTTTGCCCGGAAAGCTCACCACATGTGGGTGAAGCTCAATGGGTGAATACTGTGGACTTCATATGAGGCGATTAAGGGAAGGCGGGTGACTTCCACAACCATGTCGTAAGTGTGGGGGCGGAACACAGGCAGAAACTATCCTTTGTCAAGCCTGCGGGGCGAATAGGGTGCATTATATGATCGTTTATGCCGAGAAACAAGCAAGAAAGAGTTTTGCTAGAGTACTGGTCGAATTAATTTCAACATTTTGAATTAATTTTGTTTTAGAGATTTATCGCACGTAGGATATAGCACTAAAATTTGCAAAAGTCGAGATGAATACTGTCGAGAGACTTCTGCAACTATATGACCAAGTCGAACGGACACGCGCTGAAAGCCTCCCTTAAGGCTCTTCAACCGCCCACTGACCCGACAACCACGCCAAGAAATGTCACTCCGCCTATCCCCAAACCGCGCAAGCCCACACCTGCCGAGCCTACCGATGATGAGATGGACGCATACATCAATGAGCTTCTGGCTGAATTTAAACCACGACGCCCCACAAGGGCTCCTCCCCCACCAACCACGGAACTTAAGCGGGATGAAACAAAGGCCTTCAGGTGCCGAAGGGACACCCCTCCGAACGCGATTTGATGGCTTTCCTCAAAAGCGCCCAGCCCTACATCAAACGCAAACTCGTCGAGGAGCTATTAGCTCTACGAGGAGTTAAGTTCCAGTTGGCTGTAGAGTTTGAGTTTCGGAAGGATGAAGCAAATGGTACTGAAGTGCTTCAAGCACCAGTGTTCTGGACAAAGCAGATCACGCTGCTACAGGCGCATGAGATTCGGCAAGCCTTACATGAAGCCTTCCCAGCAATCCTGGAGGGATTGTAAAAATTCACTCGGGAAGGGTCTGGGTGGATAGGGGAGCGTGTCAAAACACTCTGGCTTGACATCGCTCACTACCAGCCTTTATGACGAGGCTCATACCTTCCTCTCTCCACCACGGTCAAGAATAAGAATGCAATCGTCAACGTGAAAAACAAAGACGATGACTGCCTCCGCTGGTCTCTAAGGGCTGCGCTGTTTCCTGCAGCTAGAAATCCGCAACGGCCGGGCAAGTATCCCACTAAAGACGGTAGATTGATAGATAGATCATTTTATTTTAACAAGCTTACCATTGTCAACATACAAGTTGATTTCCACATGGGGCATGTGCAATAATGAAAATTACAATAGAATAGTGAACTACTTACATTTTACGATACACATGACACTAAAATGTACATTAAATGAAGTATAGCTAGGTTAGAAAGCTATTTACAATTAGTTGAGTACATATTTGTTTGCGGAAAGTGGGAAGCGATTTTTCTTTGAAAGGTCGCTAGAGAACTAATTTCTTTAAGTTCATTTGGCAATAAGTTCCAGACTTGTGGCCCATTAAATGCGAGACTTTTTTCATGCTATTGGTTCGTGGCTGAGGTAAGCATAGTGTTTTTTTAAAACCGCGAAGTATATAATCATTTGATTCGCTTTTGAATCTAAATAAACTAGTAAGTGATTTTGGACCCAAGTTGTTAAGCAATTTGAACATGAGCTTTGCTTTACTTTTTTTCCTTTAAATATCAAGAGGTTCCCAAACTAAAGCTCTCAAAGCAATTTCGTGATGAACAACATTACTCATGTTTGCGATGATTCTAGCAGCTCGATTTTGAAGTTTTTGTAAGCGTTTGGATTGAGTTTCGCCGAAAACGTCCCATACTTCACAGCAGTAAGTAAAGTAAGGATGTATAAGAGCGTTGTAAATGGAAAGAAGAGTGTCTTTATGGACATAGTCTTTAGCCCGACAAAGAGCTGATATCCCTGAGGCAATCTTCTTACAAATATTGTCAGTATTTTTCTTCCACGACAAGTGCTGATCGAGTGTCACACCAAGAGACTTAGAATCCCAAACTTGTTTTATTGTTTTACCATAATTTCTAATTAGCAGCAATTTTAAAAAACACTTGAGAAAAACGACGATTTTTTTGAGAGCAAACATGTTTCGACATTATCAGAATGCCATCTTCAGTGCAGAATGATTAGTGTTAAGTAATATGATACATAATATGATTTGAGTAAATTAATTACATTGAGTATAAATTTTTAAAATTATATTACGTAAGTTCTAAAAATAAGTATTAAGAATTTATAACAAAAGTATTATTATAAAGTAAATATAGTGTTGTAGTGGTGAACTTGGATATTTAAATCGGGATTAGTTTTATTGATGTGTAGAGCTTCCTTGATTTTGAGTGAGAAAGTCGATTGATCAGTGTCGATGATTTTAAAACAGGAAGGTGAGAATTTGTTTTTACATGAAGGAGAGGCTTGAAGATGTTTGTAGATAGTGGAGTTTTTGTCTGTGTGAGTATGTTCCTTTATCCTGGTAGATAATTGGCGAGAAGTTTCACCAATATAACGGGAATTACATCCCGCACATGAGAATTGATAAACTACCATAGATTTGGAAAGTTCGGGAACTGGGTCTTTAAACGAAAATAAAGATTTTATTTTGAAAGATGTGAAAATAAGTTTAACGTCAATGTCAGTGCAGTAGCGTTTAATGATTTGTGTTAGTTTGCGTTGTGTGTGTCGTGAGTAATCACCTATGTAAGGTAGTTTGAAATAACGTTTATTGTCAGGTTGTTGTATATCGTTAGTGTTAGTTGTGGAGTTAAATGAGTCAGTGCTTTTCTTGTTGTCCAAATAGTGTTGTATAGTGTTGTTGATGAAATGAAAGGAAAAGAATTACGTTGAGAGTGAATATTAGTTTCTTTAAATCACGTTGAAAGCCGATGTCTGTGTTGTTGAGTTTCCGTGCTCTGTCGGTCAGTGTTCGTATCAGTCCAATTTGTAATTTAATGATGTGAAACTAAAAAGTTAGTCAGTAGTCCTGTATATGTTGGTTTGTGGTACGTAGAGGTCATACAGTTTTCATGTGATTTAGTTAGTAAGATGTCAAGAAAGGGTAACTGATTGTCTTGTTCGGTTTCGTATGTAAAGTTTATGCTTTGATGTTGTTTGTTGATGTATTCGTAAAAGAGTAATGCTTCGTCTTTGTTATGAAAAATACAAAAAATGTCGTCAACGTATCTGCGGTAAAATAAAGGTTTGTTGTTGCTGTAGTTATTTAACCAGTTTCGTTCGTGAAAACCCATGAAAATGTTGGCTAGAATGGGTGCCAAGGGTGAGCCCATACTTACCCCGTCAATTTGGTCGTAGTACTTACCGTTAAATAAAAATGAGTCTCGGCCGTAGTGATGTTAAACAATAGTTTTAGTTCTGTTCTGCTCATTTTGAATGTAGGGTTGTTGGTAAAAATTAAATCAGTAGCAATGTCTATGGTTTCGGTCAGTGGTATGTTGGTAAAAGGCTTTCAACGTCAAAAGAAATAAAGAATTTGTCATGTGGAGCGTTAGTGTTAAAAGATAAAAATCATCGATAAAACTAAAAGAATCTTTAGCAAGGTATTAGGGTTGGAGTAAAGAGCTGAGGTATTTGGCTAATTTATAGTTATACGAATTGATTGAAGAATTTATAGGTCTGATAGGAGGTATGTCATTGATATTGTTTAATTTATGAAGTTTAGGTAAACCATATAATCGAGCTGGCTGTGAACCTTTAGGGTACATCTCGAAATGATTTTTCGTCTATAGAGTTTTTTTTCTTTAAGTTACGTAGCAGTCGTTGTAACTTTGCTTCACGGGAAATTGTAGGATCATGATCGAGTGGTTTGAACTTAGATAAATTGTTAATTGTAGTGAGGCAAGAGTTAATGTATACCTGACGATCCATAATGCTTACACTATTGCCTTTGTCAGGTTTAAGAACAATGATTTTGTCATTATTACGGATGTTCCTTAGAATTTTATGTTTCTTCAGGTCTTTAGGAGTTGGATGGTAGGAAGTTACGTACGTGTGTGCCAAGTGACCAAGTTCCGTTTTTAGTATTGAATAGTCCTCTTGTTTGATAAGTTTATTTCTTAATGAATAGTGGATACGTTCGAATGTTGCCAGAATGTCGGAGGAGTGGATTTTTGGAGGTTTGATGCTAAAGTTGAGACCGTTTATTAGAGCGTTAAGTTCATCTTCACTTAGCTTTACAGATGATAGGTTGGTGACAGTGTCTTTATGAGTGAATGGTATAGCCTTGTTTTTCGTCAAATTATTTAGTTTCTTACGGTGTGTCGAAAATATTTTGTTTAGTTGTTTGTCGACATTCTTTTTGAGGGCTTTATTCAAGATATGCCAGTCAATTGGGTTAAGAAAGCTTTTGATTTCTTCTGTTTTGTTCGTCAGGTCCCTATCGAGTGTCCGTAGTTCTTTAGATCTCTTCGTTATCGTAGTTCGTAGTAAACGCTTTCGAATGTGGTATGTATCTCGATTGTCAACATTAGGCAGTGGAAAACACAGGAACTTTGGAAAAACTCCAAGTGAATTGCAATCTTTAAGGAAGGCGATATCAAGTTCAGCCTTGCGTTTCTTAGTTGTAAACTTTTCATAATTTCAAAAATCCGATGTATTACCAACAACCCTACATTCAAATTTTTACCAACAACCCTACATTCAAAATGAGCAGAACAGAACTAAAACTATTGTTTAACATCACTACGGCCGAGACTCATTTTTTATTTAACGGTAAGTACTACGACCAAATTGACGGGGTAAGTATGGGCTCACCCTTGGCACTCATTCTAGCCAACATTTTCATGGGTTTTCACGAACGAAACTGGTTAAATAACTACAGCAACAACAAACCTTTATTTTACCGCAGATACGTTGCCGACATTTTTTGTATTTTTCATAACAAAGACGAAGCATTACTCTTTTACGAATACATCAACAAATAACATCAAAGCATAAACTTTACATACGAAACCGAACAAGACAATCAGTTACCCTTTCTTGACATCTTACTAACTAAATCACATGAAAACTGTATGACATCTACGTACAACAAACCAACATATACAGGACTACTGACTAACTTTTTTAGTTTCACACCATTAAATTACAAAATTGGACTGATACGAACACTGACCGACAGAGCACGGAAACTCAACAACACAGACATCGGCTTTCAACGTGATTTAAAGAAACTAATATTCACTCTCCAACGTAATTCTTTTCCTTTTCATTTCATCAACAACACTATACAACACTATTTGGACAACAAGAAAGCACTGACTCATCTAACTCCACAACTAACACTAACGATATACAACAACCTGACAATAAACGTTATTTCAAACTACCTTACATAGGTGATTACTCACGACACACACAACGCAAACTCACACAAATCATTAAACGCTACTGCACTGACATTGACGTTAAACTTATTTTCACATCTTTCAAAATAAAATCTTTATTTTCGTTTAAAGACCCACTTCCCGAACTTTCCAAATCTATGGTAGTTTATCAATTTTCATGTGCGGGATGTAATTCCCGTTATATTGGTGAAACTTCTCGCCAATTATCTACCAGGATAAAGGAACATACTCACACAGACAAAAATTCCACTATCTACAAACATCTTCAAGCCTCTCCTTCATGTAAAAACAAATTCTCACCTTCCTGTTTTAAAATCATCGACACTGATCAATCCATTTTCTCACTCAAAATTAAGAGAGCTCTACACATTAATAAAACTAGTCCCGATTTAAATATCCAAGTTCACCACTACAACACTATATTTACTTTATAATAATACTTTGGTTATAAATTCTTAATACTTATTTTTAGAACTTACGTTATAGTTATTAATACTTAATACTAATTGTAATTAATTTACTCATATCATATTATGTATCATATTACTTAACACTAATCATTCTGCACTGAAGATGGCATTCGAAACATGTTTGCTCTCAAAAAAATCGTCGTTTTTCTCAAGTGTTTTTTTAGAAGAGTTTGTTTTGATCTTTCACACTATATCTCATACATACACCTTCAATGTATCACAACCCGTTTTGGCTCCCTCATTCATTGTGTTGTATAATCATCCTTACTTAAGAGATGACGAACTTTTGGTTCCATCAAAATAATTTACTTCTATATTTTATTGCATGAAAAAAAGAGTTAAAGTAATATGTACTAATTACAAAACACGATCGCATTTTGTACTTAATCATTTACAAATAAATTCAAATATATAAAGATTTATCTTACGTAACGTGAATTTTTCTCACTTCATCAAGAAATTACAAAGTGTAAGTTTAATAAACAGTATTTAAGTAAAACACAGCATGTTGTGCGTCCAAAAATGCCGATTGATTAACGAAACGATTTTTACCTTCAATGGTTTATAAATAGGCATACTTTAAAAGTTGATTTTCCGATTTGAATGGCTTGCAGAATTCCAAATATAAATCACACGACTTAATTCATGCACATCATTAGTCTCATAAAAATTAGTTTAGAAAAATGCATCAGTGAGACATGGTGATCAGACATTGAAATTTCAAAATAGGTTGACTTTTATAAAGGTCTTTTTGATACATCCTGTTTTTGTAACTTTTTGGGAACACCACGTATTATGTATATATGTACGCAAAGAATGATTCAAATGGTGAGATCATCTGCTACAATTAAATTTTTCACACGTTGAATCTTGTCAATATTCTTGCATTAAAAATGTAGTAAACAGATACATCAATACTAATGACTTAATAGTTTAATATGTAATTATAATTAATAAGAATCGGATATGTTGACAGGAGCTATATTAAGGGATGAAAGCTAGTAAGAAAACGACAAAGGAAAGTAGATAGAACTTAAAGGTGTTGATGTTACTTAGATTGAAATTAAAAGACATTACAAAAAATACGACAATCTTGAAGGAAAAGTAACATATCGTAATCACGTGAAATTCTTTTTCATGTTAAGCGAAAGATAACCCAACATGAACTGTGGTATAAATAATAGTAAAGTTCATACATCTGAATATCTTGAAGCACTTTATGATATTATGGCAAAGAATGAAATCAAGGTGAAACACACTCCCAATCAAAGTGAACAGTAAATATGACGCTGTGTGTCTCTTTTTGAATTTTTTATTTAGAATGCCACTGCGTGAGTCTGGGCAAAGTTGCTGTAGTGAGCCCGCAATCAAAGAAAATGCCCTTAGCCAATCATTAGATTGGAGTTGGGATTAGGCAGTGGTCTCTTTCGTTACGTTCCTTTTCCGCTAACTTTGTATCCAAATATAACGTATTTCGTATTTATGGTAGGATCTTGTGAAGAGTTTAGGATCAAAGCTTAGATGATTATTTTGTACAGAGGGCTAGAGGAGGGGAGGGGAGGGAGGTGGATCTTTTGAATAGAGATTGAAGAGAAGACCTGGAATGTAGTCACTAGGCTGATTTGGTATTTGAGAAAAACAGGAAAAAATATGAAAAACCTATTTTTATTTAAATATAAACAACACACAAGGCTGTAAAGACCTTTGTGATGGAGGTTTTTAAAAAAAATGGCTTGGAAATGTAGTCCTGTGTTTTGGATGGAGCATCTGCACATTGACTTAGAGTGGATGTAGTAATGATGTGTAATAACGATGTTTGGGATGTAGAGTTAGATGAAGAGCTTAGAATGTAGATGTGAGCACTTAAGGATAAAAGGTTAGGCTAATCTTTTCAATGGACCTCATACATTTGATGTCTATTCGAAATTAACAAGTCATTTTGTTATACAAAGAAATGGCTACTTGCTACAAACAGCACCTTTTTCTGAGGGTTTGCAGTGAGTCAAGAACAGGTCAGTCTGCATCTAGTCTAAAATAAATAGTGAAGTCTGAAACTACTGTCATATGCCCATACCTGTTGTACAGCTCTATGCAAATTGCAGTATTAAGTGGCTTGCTCCTGCGTATGCCTTACTGTCACATCTGCTTGAAAAATTGCATAAATTGTACTGCTTTATTCAAGCTGATGGGCATAAAATATTCTATTTTGTGGGACCACCAGGCCAATAAATAATTTTTATCAAAAAAACGTCTCGTGGGAATTATCACTTATCCAATACAAAGGAAATCATTTGTATCAATCAATGGGGACATAGCTAGACAGAGAGCCAGGCCCCTTGAAAAAATTCTTGCATCTACTAAATTGTATTGTTTTATTTACATTCATTACAACGACGGTTGTGGCTCCCCTTCCTTTTTATCTCCTCCCCCTTGAGAGAAAATCCTGGCTACTGCAATAATATATCACTGCGGTTAAATAATATAGATGAAGGAATGACTAAGAAGAACTGCAAAGATGACTTCATCTTACTAAGTTCCGACTTTCCAGGCTGCTTTCGAGACTGCGGAGTAGGTCGAGATGTCTGTCTGACATTGTGCATGTATAAAATTGAAGCTTGTGTATTTAGTTTCTTTTCCTTCCTTATAACCCTACTTATAAGAATTCTATAATTTTTCAGTACTTATAACCAATTTTTTCTGCGCCAACCTCAAATATTTTTTGGACATGATCCACGAAAACCTCTTCATCTCCAAACTAAAACCTTCACTTAACACCCAAGGCAGCTCCATCCCTCTTAAGCTTTTCTAGTCTCAACACCTCAACCTAACTATACATCACATCAAACTTACACATCCATAGTAATCTAATACCTCTAACTATATAAATAACTATATTTTTTCCAACAATTCGTTGTTAACTTCCTTATTAGTCTGAAGATGTCTTGAGTCAAGACGAAACGTCACTATTTTAATAAATTTCACAAAACCAAATTGCTTATGGCTATGTTCAAAATAATATGTTGGGCTGTAATATTTATTTTAAGAATCCGTTTCCCACCTGGCACCTCACTGGCAACAATATGAATAATTTCTTATGTACATAAAAGAAAAAACATGCTCAGAAAAAGTTGTGATCTTTTATAAAAACAAGACTATAATTTCCCGTAATATTTCAATTACGGCAATACTAGAAAGCCATAGTTTCTTCACTTACAAAAATCAACACAGAAAAGAATATTTTGCCTTATATGAAGACCATGTGAGGCTTACCCATAATTTTCAAGAAATTTTATGCAATCAATCTACAAGCTTTCTCAAATTTTCGTGCATTCTTTTGCAAAAGCAAAATGTTTCTATAGTTGCGTAAAGACATTTTGAATTGAAGAACTGTTAAGCCGACCGGTGCTTTGTACCCACTTTTGTACCCACTCTATCTGCTAATTTTCAGTCTCGGATTTCAGAAAAGCAATTTGTCGTGCATTCATAATCGACACGAATACTTTTTGGCATCTTCCATTAAAAATAATTTTCTGAATCATATTGGTGACTACGTTATGCAACGTGTTGAAATGAAGAATTAGACGTTTAATTCATATGTGGTGAGTAAAATTGTATTACACATTAATTTTGAAACGATATTGTTAGCCACTCTACTTTTGTATCAAAGTTCTTCGGTTTGGCTAAATTGTGTAATACCAGGTACGCGGATACGCATTGAGCATTCTATAATGCCATATTAAATTTATTATGGGATGATTCCAAGTTCCGAGACAATAGAAATCAATGTCAACTCTTTCCCGGCGGACACGATAAACGTGGGACATAGCTATGTCCACATTGAGTTTATTGTCTATTAATTTCATTGTATACAACGTATAAAGACAAATTTACTTGTGATATTTAGCTAATGCATTTTGTATCAATTGCTCATCATTAGAGCACATTGGATATTCAATTACACGCATTGACTTATCAATAGCGCAGTAGAATATTTTTTAACACGAATGAACAATCAAGAGCACAAGTCGACTATCAATAACATTTATTTATGCCGCATAGCATAAAAATCAGGAATATTCAACTTGCTTTAACGTGCATTCAATCAAACGAAAGAAAGATCATTTATAAAAAGCAGACAATCAAATAAGCATGTATACACAACATTTGCTCATCATTAGAGCACATTGGACATTTAATTGCACGCTTTGACTGATCAGTAGAGCTATAGAATATTCATTACACGAAGGAGCAATATAGAGCACTAGTCGACAATCAATAACATTTATTAATGCTGCATTAAATCTAGAATGTTTGAGTATAGCATTCACGTGCATTGAGTAAAATCAAATGAAGGATCATCATGATAAAGCAGGCATTCAAATAAACATGTATATGCTTTGTACGAAAGACGTCTTTCCCAACAGAAATAATGTGCACATCAAGTCTGATTACAAAAATTAAACATTTTGAGAAAAAGTACTACGAAATATTTGGCGTTTGCATGACGTGTATACATGACATGTGGAAATTCTTTTTAGTTTTCGGTAGTATCTCTCACGGTAATGCCACAGTATAGAGAACATACAGTAGAGCCACTCCATTGAATTTTTCGTCCCACGCATATCGTATTATGCATGGGATTACCATATTGGCAGCCAGTCAATTGCATTGTGTGACCAATAGGATTGACGATATGGCAAACGGCAGCTTGTAAACTAATTAAATATACAGCAGCCGGTTGAATGGCGAAGTAGCCCTACTCAGAGCCCTCTATTTGAAAGAGTTGGGATAACAGTCTGGGGCGAGCGCAGAGCCGCCATTTTCGTTTCTACTTGCAATATAAACTTATAATGAAACTGTGTGAAATCGGCTAAATGAGCAAAAGAATGAAGCAATTTCGCCTTTTTTAATGGAAATTTTAAATATATCGGACTCCACAATGAAGCTTTTGGCGTTTTCGTGAATAATTACTGCAAACCAAACTCAATTTTATTGATTGAGCTAAATTTGCGGTTGACTGGTTCGTGCTTTTATCGTGCTTTGAAACTAATCTTGACCCACTTCTAAGCGTTTTTACGTATTTCAACGTATCTTCCGGTAGTTTTCAACAGCAGCACCAAGATATTTGTTTTCATTGCTTATAATTTACCAGCAATAAAGTCCATACTCGACATTTCGTTTGCATATTCTTGGTCAGGAAAACACGTTACTACACATACATAGGTTCAGATCTGAATCAATGCTTTGGCAGGTATAGGGTAAGTTTAAAATAAATCACTGCAGCTCATTTTTGACTATATCTACATTTCGAGCATGTGCAACTCTCGACCTTCGGTCTCGGGCTTGCACAGATCTACTCTCGAGTTCTCCCAAAGGTCTCCTCGGTTTGCATAAGCCTGTGCGAACACAATAAAAATCTTTTATTTGTTAAATATAGATGCATACTTTATGTAGTTTCTGCGCCAATGGTAGACGATAATTCATCGTCATTAAAATACGTTTTTTTCTTTATTGGTCGATGTAGAGTGTTTCAAATAGTTTGTACAAGCTGTATATCTAATTTATATTATAAAAGATGAATTCTCAGCAGTATATTATTTTACTGGATAGTTAATCATAAGCGTAAATTTGGACTTTATTGTCATTGCTTTCGATCGGTTGTCTGCTTCTCTAACGGCTCAGGTGTACCAGCAAAAGCAATGATCCGATGCATTTCTCGTCAATATTCTTTGCTATTTGACTTGCACTTTCTAATTACAGTCGAAACAAAAATCCACAAAAAGTGCAGAACAAGCGATCGAGGTAGAGAAAGCCTCAAAGTTTGTCAAGGTTATTTAATACTTACCTTCTGAAGTTATTCATTTCCCCTGTCCTTGCCACTTATTTTCTTTGTTAGGAAACAAATGAATTGATATTTCTTCATTTATTGAGTAATTGGCGCAAGTAACTTGATTAGGTCGGCCAGTAACACAACTTTTTCCATCGCATTTTTTGTATCGATTACTAGTGAAATACGCCATGATGATTCGATGTGCTCAACTATTTACGTCACACCCAGCCTTGTACCCAGGCGCTTTGATATTTTGCTTTGAAATATTTAATACTGTAGTTGCGCGGGACGACAGGCGTGAGCAAAAAATGGGAAATCGCTTCCACACGTAATCGGCTTGTTACAGTCACGCAAATGCGTGATGCCCACGCACGCCATGTGAAGCCCCTGGGTACGAGGCTGCGTTACACCCTCTGGTCACACCCGTTAACATACCAACAAATAGTTCGCAAAAATATGGCTGAAAATCGCAACTTTGAACGTTAATAAAATCACTTCTGGAAATCAGATTTGAATTATAATTGCAGAAATGGAATCCCAAAAAACTAGTCTTTTAATTCAGCTACTAAAAAGGGAGAGGGGCTAAAATTCGTAATATAAACACTTTAACATATTGAACATCTTTTTTAATCAATTAAAAGCTTTAATCTAAGTAAGATGAGGTTCCACTTTTATTTTTTTCATGTTTAACTTAAATCTTATGTTTTGGCACTTTATCTTAATGTTACCCTGTTAAACTTTTTTGCTGATGAGCA